CAATGTTTGTTTGGATGCTTTTGCATGGATTTCAGTTCTTTCGTTTGGCATACAATGCATACAAAATTCATTTCAATAAATATATTTATTTGTGTCTCGGCTATGGAATACCCGTAGCTATTATACTCTTCTCATTGCTGGCAATTTCGCTCACTTCTAACACTTCATTTGGTGGACCACTTGTCGGCTCAGAATATTTGTAATTTTTAATTTTTTACACCATTTTCGATTTATTAAAATTAATTTTTGAATAGTTGTTGGATATCATCGACCAAACATCCAGAATATATTTATATATTGATTGGTAATAATTGATATAAAAATGAAACAATATAATTATTTTAAGTTTATAAAATGTTTTGTTGAACATGGACAGGTCCGGCACTGTTTTCAATTGCTTTAAATGTGATATTCACTGCATATGTATTTACTGTGGTTTCCATCAGATCTAAAGACAGAGTCGCCTGCGGACAAGTGTTTGGATTCATTTGTTTATTATTCAATTGTGGCATTTCGTGGACATTATTCCTGTTATATATGCATCGCGTAACTCCTTATCCCAATATATTCTCGTATTTCTTCATTATTATCAATGGACTACAGGTTAGAAATCATATTTAATTTATGTTTAAGTTTTAATTCTAATAAATTTAGTTATATTTTCAATTAAAGGGTTTATTCTTAATGTTATATCAATTCACAATTCGTTTGGAGAGAAAGACAATTAAAACAAGTGTTGAGTCGTCGGAAGTGTCTGATAATAGTAACCAAACGACATCCGGAACTTCAACCACAAGACTTTCATTGTCTACAAGCGTTGAAAACACGGATTGTTGAATAAATACACATATTTTATAAATAAATTCAGATATAATATAATCTATTTTATTTTATTTATAAAGTATGAAAAAATGTTATTAAATAAAATATAAATTGAAATTTCAAACTTAAAATTCTAATCATAGTGTGAAAAGTCATTAATTTAAATTATTCCCAGAAAAATGTGATTTTCTAATATACATTTACAATATACAGTACGTATAAAGGTAAGTTTATTTGGGTATAAATTATAAATACCACATAACATGATAATTAAATATTTATAATATACCGTGAATATTTGCAATAACTGTTGTATTTCATAAGGTTTTAATGAAATTTGGTTTATATACATTGGTAATTATTATATTAATGATTTATTAATAAGTATTTTATCATTTATTTTATTTTTTATTTAAAATACGAGTTTATTAACGTTACACAAACTTAATAATATCATAATTAAATTGAGAGAAAAAACATTATTATTTTATTTGTTGCATAAATAACTAAAAATAATTATTAATTTCATTTTTAGTACAATTGTTGTGAAACCAATAACTTTTCGCAAATATTGTTTTGATGTCTATTCTATAATTCAGTGCATATAATACACTGTGATTATCATGAATTACATACATAAATCTATTAATCCAGTTTTAGACAAAAACATTGGATATTTAGGCGACTGGCTTCATAACTATTACAAATATGAAAAGTGTACTTCAATAAACACTAGAAACAATTTACCCAGACTTATATTTATGACAATTATATGCATTCGAGTGGTTATTGTAATTTTAAGTCAATTTCACTTTATTAATATACCCAAGATTAATATATATCTGGGCAGTTGGTCCGCAATATTGGGCGGTGTCCCTCTTTATTATGAACTCTTATGCCTATTGTGGTCTTTGTTTTATATTTGCTTCAACTTTGTGGCCATCAATCGTCCCATTGAAGACTTCTCATGGATTGAATTGTTTGGTGCAATCAATGGACACATCGATCCCCAAAAGTTGGGAATTGACGCCAAATTATTGAAGCAATTGAAACAGATATCAAAATTTGGTTTCTTCTTTGTCAACAATACAATCAATACGATTGCATTGTTTTGCAGTTTAGCAATCATTGTCACTATGTTTCTCAACTATACCACCGAAGACTTCTTCAAATACGCCATCGTTTGGACATTCATTTGGACGTATTGGGGGTATATTTGCTGCAAATCTTTGTATTGGTTTCCCATATATTTCTTTATAATTTGTCACTTTTTGAAGACACGAATGACTTTTATTGAGAACCAAATCAAAGTACTGATGAGCGGCTTTAACTCAACTGATGTTCAACAACTCAATGAGATAATTTTAATTGAGTTATTGAAAAGTCATAACAAAATACACGTCAAAATTTCATCCTATAATAACTATTGGAAACAATATTTGACTCAAGCGTTGATAATGTTTACGACAATAATCCTATTTCTGTCGTATTTGTATTTCTTCACAGAAATACCATTTTTGCCTAAATTTGAGTTCTCTATGGTTTTGTCTGTGAAAATGTCATTCCTGTCGGCACTCATGATATCCGCGGCGTTAGTCTCTTATAAAACACATACAACTTATAAATTATTGCAAAGCGTTTATTTGAAACAATTATCTGTGAAAACAAGGCTCAAGGTTTGTTTTTCGTGATATTCCCCTCATTTATACATTTTAATGAATTGGCAAAAATTATTATTATTATAGTTAATGTCATATATGGAGAAATTGAGTCAAACAATTGGTTTCTCGTTTATAAATAATCATGTTATAAATCAAAATACTATTAGATTTGTAAATATATTTGAATAATACTTGTAATTGTAATAATAGCGTAATACTAATGTAATTAATATTATTACTTATTTCCAGATCATTACAAACGCAACCCTTTATTTCATTTTAATCGTTCAAAATACCAAAAGAAACGACATTTCATCTTAAAATCATATAAAATTCAATACAAAATATCAAAATTTTAAATAAAATAAATTAATAATTAATTAATTATTATAAAAAAACAAATAGATTTAAACAATTATTAAATTATTTATTAAAATATTTAATTTAAATGTTATGAAACTTTAAATGCTTTGTCATTAAAGGAAAGATATGGGAAACCAAAACATGATTGAAAATACAAGGGAAGGGATGGTTAGTGCAAACATTTAGATCAACTATCTTTAGTACAAATCAATGGTTGTAATGATTTAGCAAATTATAATGATAAAATGTATAACAACCTAGTTCATTTCCAAAACAAACAAATACAAACAGCGAAAAAGTGCATATCATTGGCACATATGGTGTGAATGACGTAATGTTGTCTTTCGAGATACTTCTGGAACCGTCTCTATGACTAAATCCATGACTACTTCTCTATCAATGATATCACAAGACATGCGTATTGTTCACTGTTTACTGAATTTTAGTACAAGTTTTCAAGTTTTGAAACAAGTGTTACATCACTGGCTATACAGTTATTCAGCACTTTCTGACAACTTTTCAAACGTATATAAACCCAATGCCTCTCTTCAGTCAAAACATACAAACTTTGGAAACACATCACAAGTGGAGAGAGAAGACCCGAAGAGCTGTCAAACACTTATTGTCACTGTTTTTCGAATAGTTTTTATTATAAGTCAAAAGTTTTCATTTGTTTCAAATACGAGAAACACTTCACTAAAGCGATGGCACTGTTTGATCATCTGATGAATTGCGGAGAAAACCTCGTCGATCAGGACTGGAATCACTGGAAACTACAGATGAAGTCGTGGATGGAGGACGTGAAGGAACAGGAGAGACAGAGCCGATCCGGACCGTCGGCCGGCCCTCAGTCTTGCGGTAGCGCTCATTGCGGCCAAAAAAGTGCTCCCAATTGCGGTACCAGTCGTGACAGTGAGCAGATGTATCCCGGATTGGAGGCATTGCACGGCTTATGGGCTCAGTTCGCCAACAGAGGACCCGGAGCTCAGCGCCAGACTCGCGAAGACCCGTCCAATCAGGTGAAGAGCGACGCCAAGAAGATGGTCATCAAACTTGATGTCCAAAACTTTGACGCCCAAGAGATCAGCGTTAAGATTGTGGACAACTTTATAGTGGTGTCGGGCGAACACCCGGAGAAGGCCGACCGCTTGAGTCTGATTAGCCGTAAGTTTCAGCGCAGATACGAATTGCCGGCCGACGTCGAGGCCGACACCATTGTCTCGACTCTCACTCCCGATGGAGTTCTTATCATTGAGGGCCTCAAGAAGTTTGTTCCGCGAGAAGCGGGCGCTGAGATCGTGATTCCCGTACAGAGAGAACAGACCAACGCTTCCGACGATCAGCAGGAAAAGTATGCGTCCGAAGAGAAGATGGACTAAACCAATGATTTGGCAGTATTTTAAACTTTTATTTTTGATTTACATTTTATTTTGATATTTTAATCTTATTTAAACTTTTGATTTAATTTAATTTTAATTATTATAACTTAAATAACCGTTTATATCGAGCGCTCGGATGTATTTAAAAGCACTCTTAGTTTTAATTGTATTTCACTTGCAATTAATTAGTATATTCTCAATGATTTATATCACTTAAAATATATGTAATCCTATTTATCTTTAAATAAAAACAATTAAAAATTACTATACATTGTAATTATTAAACTTATTTCCTTTAAACTTATGGTAAAACGTAATGAATGTACAGGAAATACACATTAAACTGGTCATCGCTATAATGGCTTTACATTTCTCAATGACTTCGCACAAATTTTATGCAATAAAAAGTTAATTAATTTTTAAATAAATTATAAATCAAAAAAGTTTTCAAACAATTCTTAAAACAAAGTCTATTGAAAACAAGAGATGAAATACTATTAACGTTAATACTATGGATAACGCTATGGAAAGCGTTGTTTATGCGAAACCTGTGTTATTGTTGGTAACGATTGTGAGCCAAACATGTGATTCACACGCCTTTCGTATAAATACAGTAATTAATGTTAATTTAGTTTAAATTGTAGTCATATTTAGTGTTTGAGACAAACCATAAACACATGTCTAAAGCCATAATACTATTGCCGGGCGAAGACATTACGGCACTCATCAACGAGGGGTCGGCTAATGGATCGCAGACCAGACCTGATGTCATACCCGTTATGGGAGCCAAAGGTGGCCGCAGAGGACAGTCGGCTGACACGAAGAGTACGGTCACCTCTGAGGCCAAACTGATGATAGGGCCGGGACTCAAACGGGAGGACAACAACCGGTTTGTGGCCGTAAAGTGCGGACAACTCGTGAGTCGTGAGACACCACTCGTCCGCACCTTTTGGATGGACTCTCACTACAAGAGATATACTGTGAGTCGCGGCGACCGAGTGGTCGGGTTTGTGGTGACCAAACAGGCCTATCACTGCAAAGTAGACATCGGCACCAATGAACCGGCGGTGCTCTCACTCCTGGCCTTCCCTCAGGCGACCAAACGCAACAAACCCGCCATTGAGGTCAGTATATTCCTCCTCAACAGTCGTTGTATTTGTTGTATTGATTGGTGTTTTGTTTGTTTGCGTGTGGATCAGGTCGGCGACGCCGTCTACGCCCAGATCACCACCGAGTGTCCCGATATTGAGGCCGAGTTGGTGTGCGTTAATAGCGAGCAAAAGTCCGGCGGTCTGGGAGTGCTGTCCAGCGATGGCTATGTCCTGACGGTTCCCATCAGTATTGTCCGCCGTCTGTTAGCGCCCGACTCGCAAGTGATCCGCACTTTGGGCTCCAAATACAAGTTTGAGATCTCGTGCGGAATGAATGGCAGGATTTGGATTCGGGCTAAGAATTTGGACANACTATATTTGATTGTTTTTTAAAGAATATCTCATATTCTATGCAAATATGTGTCGTTTATATTTGTATTTTTGTGTAATAAACTCATTGTTAAAATGTTTAAATTATACGCCAATGGAAAGTATAATGAATGTAGTTTTCAATCATTTTAATGATTAGTTGTCCTTAAAAAGTGAACACTTAAGGGAAGGGAAGGGTTGTTGATTATAAGTGATCAATAGAAACGCCGGCCCTCTTCCCCATCGCCCACACCACTAATACAATGCCAATACATGTCATATTTATGTATGGGTTTTGTGGGCAAAACAGGAGGAGAGAAAACAGGGAAAAAGGAGAGCAGAGATAAATGTAGAGCAGAGATAAGGCAGCGATTAATGAACTGCTTCTCTCACTCCACTCAATAGCTGTGGGTTTTGCGCAAATGACTCACCAGTAATGGTGAGCCCAACCGACAGATGCCCTACCAGTGCGCCCACCGATAAGGCCTATGGCATAGGCTATGCCTCTCTCTCTCTCTCACCGATTGAGTGCTGCTGTTGTCAAACAGAGCCCAAAAAGTGACTGTTTTTCTCGTTTACAGTCTATTACTATTGAATACGAAAATGAAATGTTTTTGCTTCACATTTCTCTCTCATAGACTCATTGATAGGACCAGTATTTGTGGGTACAGTGTATAAGATGGACACGACTGCACCGCTCGTACACTTATATCCATGATTATTGTCATTATTATGATTAGTTAATCCATGGATTAATTTACTAATTAATCAATCGATAGATGTGTTGATAGCATACAAACATATACAACACATCCACACATGTGTATAGTGTGTAGTGTTTCAGACATTTATATTGAGTTTTTGATGTTTGTATGCATTTGTCATTTGAGTGCAAAAAACAAATATAAATAATAATTATTATTATTGTATTGAAGTATCGATTGATTCGCGAATCGCGTTAAACATTGCGGTCATTGAATCCACAGTTGATTCGTGTGTTTATTATGTAATCGTTTTTTGTAATTGTATTTCGATATAAATTATATGAATCCCTGTATTGAGTATACAATACAAACACAACAACAAAACTGTGGCTCAAAATGTGAATGAAATTTACAAATGAAATTGTGATCAAAATTTTGTACCATTTATACAATCCGTAGTGTATTTAGTGTTAACACACATTGTTTTCGATACACAACTGATCCGACTGTGAATGTAAGCCATCGACAAAACACACTGTTTGATGATATTATTGACCATTGATTTAATGCATGGTTTGGTTGTATTTGTTGGCGAAATAGTTGTGGTTTTGGATGAATGGGAAACCAAACAGCAAAGGATTTGCGACCCATTGGTGTCCAAAACGCCAATTCATTGCAGCAACAGTTGAGTCAGCAGCTGATCCAGGCGTCCAGCAATCCCAATATCAACCCCAATGTGACCCGCATTGCGACCATCGCTGGCCTCAAACACGGCAACAAACAGAGGCAGAAGTTTGGCGCTAACATCTTCATTGAACACAATGGTAATCACATCATCACATCCCTGGCCATCACTATCAACACTTCATGATCTCTCTCTCTCTCTCTCTCTCTCTCTCTCTCTCTCTGATAAATTATTTATAAAATGATTTGATTTGTGGTAATTTTATTGTTGGATCAAATGAGTGATGTATTGGATAAGCCTTTCATAGCCGAGGAATGGGTCTATTAGTTGTTATTGTCGTTGAATTTGTCGCACTCTTTATCTCGATTTCCGCATTCATTTCAATACATATTTTTATTAATACTTTTATTTGTATTTTATTTATTGTTATTTTTTGCTGTTATTTGGCTTTATATCCAAACAGACACTCAAAACGATAATCAAATATAAATTTCTATGGCTTTCAATGATTGGATGAATTAATAGCAGTTTTTTCATTATAATTATAACAATTTGTTTTCTTTTCCTCTCAAATCCATAAATAGATTGAAATTTCTTGGACTAAAACTATTGATATGAATGATAAAGAAAAAGAAATGCACACCAAATATAATTCAAACATTTTATAATTAATTTAATATTTCTGACAAATAATTGCTCTCTTTTTTCCTTTCTGGCAATTAATCAGTTTTTGGTTCACTTTTTTCTAAAAATATCCGCTAATTATATAAATTATTTCAAATTACTTTTATCTCTTCATCTCTCTGTCTCTCCCTCTCTATAGAAGCCCTCCTCCAGAACCGACCGCTTCCCGAAATCCCGGACCACTCGTCCTCATCGGCCGCTTCGGGTGTTATCCATAGTATGGCCGACGAGTCGCCGACACTTTCCGCCGGTTTCATACCAATGGACTGCGGAAGTGGTGGCGGCAGCGGTGGTGGTGTCCCTCCCCAGCGATGGATGTCTAAAGAGAACCTCCTGTCGCAGACCGACGAACCACTTGATCCGCAACTCTTCGTCGCGTTATACGAGTTTCATAGCGGAGGAGAAAATCAATTATCTCTACGAAAAGGTTTTTAAATGATTTTTTAATTGAATTTTGAAAATCTATTTTTTACGATACAATGCCTTCAAAACTTCAATCTCTATTCAATTATATTCTCCGCCTTTTGTTACGCTTTTGTGAAGAAGTTTTAAGCGTTTTTTATATCTCTTTTGATGGTTTGATATTTATATAAGAGTTGACGTGTTTTTTGTTTTTTAATTTCCGTTTGATATCAATGTTTATTTTTCTCTTATTTTATTCATTCATATATTCAATGGATTTACGTATCATTGAATTGATTAGTGCTTTTTTATTGGCCATTAAATTGCTTTGAATTTGTTGTAGTTTTTTGTTATTTTGGTTGAAAAGCACTTCAAATTTCATCAATAATACTGTTGTAATGAAATTCGTTAGCAAACACTTAAGCACTTCGTAAACAACATATGATTCATCATTTGTTTTAAATAAATTTAAATCCGAGTCTTAAATGCATTAATTTTTATTATTTATTTAGTTTTCATTTTAAGTTTACATTTTGAATGAGAATAAGCTGTTGAGCGAAGAGAAGGCATCTTTTGATTCCCATATGAAACACACAATCCTATGAATGAATGATAAGAATCTGAAATGAGTTCATTGTTTTATATCATGTCTTAAATGTTTCACAAATATAATGACGGCATTTGGTGTCAGTGTTTTTGTGTCTCATATTTTTCCGGTCCTTTTGTGGCTTAAAAATCAATATTTGATAAATGGATTGCTTATTGTTTTGAATAGAAAGTCAATACTGTTTTGTTATTGTCATGTAATTTGAGTCGAAATTTTCACAATATTTAAAGTATTATCGCATTTCAAAGATGAGGGGAATAAGGATTTGCAACAGTATTTACAGTACAATATTGTATGCCATTTATGAAATCGGATTAAAATAGCCGAGACTACGGTCTCTATGGATGTGTATGTGTTTAGCTAACTGTGCCGTATATATCAATGCCTCAATCTCTGGTGTGTATGTCTTATGGCATGAGTCAATCGGATGGCATTGACATACAGACTCTTAAGCTGTGATTTCCAGTTAAACACAACAACCATTGATTGCTTCCCAACTTTTATAGTCAATTAAATATCTATTAATGTGTTTTAAAGTAGTTTTTGCTGTAATTATGATTACAAATATAGATTTGCTTTAACTGGTTGTGACTCATTTCAAAATGTTTATTTCGTGACATTTAAATCAAATGATTTAATAAACAAATTATAATATTTATTAAGAATTTAAATTTTGATGCATTATTATTACAGTATATTCTTGTTTTGAATGATAAGTGCTTTTATAATAGTAGTAATAATACTTTTTTGAGTTAAAAAATGTTTTTTGCCGTATTATCGACAAAAACCCGGTTATTGTCTAATAGTGCTCATTGTGTTGTGAATTCAGGTATTTTTTATGCCTTTGATAATAAATGCCCGGAACTGTTGCACAGATAATAGTATCCAAATATTTTGATTGCTGTCTGATGTCAGACTAGGAGTACTTTTTTGTGTGTTATTATTTCATTAATTGTGTTTCTCTTTATGTTATTTTTCATGAATTATTTTTGAATAAAATATTTTTGAAAATATTTAAATTGCTATTAGTTTGCGATTTTATGCATAATCTAATCATATTGTGTGACAGAATAGATACGAGTTTTGAGTTTAATGTATCACAAAATATACTCTCGGTTTTAGCATTAGTTTTGGTGTCAAAACTTGTGCCACAAAATTGATTTCATATGATGTGTGTCTGTGAGACACGCCATCAATGGTTAACTTCATATGAATTTGTATTTCCTTTCAAAAACAATCACCCATTGAGTGAATGAGAAAAAAGTTTAAAACATTTTTTATTAATTGTAAGATTTATGATTGTTATTGAGTGAACGCTTTGCTTAATTCACACAATTGAAGGTGAATTTTACGCTATTTTAAATGCAATCGTTTTGAAATAGTTTTTTGTCTTATATTTATTGAAAACTTTATAAATGTTTTGATAATAATAGTAATATTTTCATTCAATGAGTTGTAGGGATTTTTTCTGTTCTTTCGGTGTGTAAATGAAATTATCAAATGATGTCATCATATGGTAGACAAAAGAGTAGTTTAGTATTTTTGGCGTTTAATTATGTGTAGGAAAATGTTTGTGTGTTTATGAAGAAACATCTTATTCTTAGACTAACTCTCAATTCAAAACTGTATATCCTTTTGACAAATCATTATAAAGTCAGAGAACTCTTCTGTTCGCTCTTTATTTGCTTTTTCGGCACTCAATATAAACGTCATTATATTGTGAGTTAAAAAACCGAAATACAAATCATTAGACAAGTGTTGTATCGATTTTTTTTGTATTACTGTATATTCCTTACGATAGGGTATTATGTAATATATTTCCGATTTCGTCGATTTGAATTCTTTTCTACTTATTTCTAATCCATTAAATCATAGATATTTTTCTATAGAAATACTGTTGTTATGAATGGAAACGCTTTTGTTTCCTATGGTTTTAGTTTTACAAAAGGATTTCAACAAATTATTTGAAGTCACGATACAATTGAAGGCTTAATTCATTTGTTATTAAAAACATTACTTCTATTGTTTGGAGTTATGTTTAATTGTAGTTTATGTCTGAAGTTTTAATTTGAAAATAGGTTTTCATTAAAGTCTTTATTACATCTATTGGTTGAGTTGTGTTTAGAGATGACATGAAGTATACATTGTGTGTATATTTAACACCAATTTCTTGGTTGCCATACATTAATGGCATTTTGTTTGACTCTATGGCAAAATTTAAGTGCAATTTTCATATAGATTTAGGTTTGAGAGGAGAAATGAGGTTAAATATTGTCGGTGTGTTTGTCTATCCCAGCGTTAAGTCAATGCCAAAAATGTGTTAACAGTTATTAAACACATGTCTCTCCCATTTAACCGTTTCTCAAACAATTTAAATACAATTTACTCAATAACCAGAGTTTTCTTGCTATTTATTTATTCATTTTAATCACTTTTTCGGTACCCAATCGTTAGTATCGTATATTGTATTTCATATTAGATTAAAAGATATAATTTAATGATTACTTGTAATCACTTATTATTTATCCGTTTAAATAATTATATACTTTTGTTGTTTGATTGTTTTGGTTATGGCTTTAATTCAATAATTATTTTAATTAACATAAGATTGTTATTTGATTTCTCGAGTTTGAAGTGTAATTTCAAAGCAATTCAAACATATTATTTACAAACTTATCGACTCTTTTGATGATTTTACGGCATATGTCTTGTATTCTCGGAAAATATAATGAATAAAAAACTAATTTTTACATTAACTTAGAGTGCCTTTCAGTTCAGAGCAAATATTTAATATAAAATATCTTTTATTTTGTTTGATGTTTGCATTCAATTGTTTGTAAATTGTTTTTTTCGGTTTGTATTCATTATAATTAATTTCTTCGGTGATAAATATCTCTTTAATGAAAGTTTCATTTTTAGCATATTTTGATTGATTGAAGTAATTTTTTGTCATTTATTTTTCATTTAATACAAATATATAACAGTGTTTTTGAAATATTTTACTAACTTATAGGACAATCTTGTTATGTAATTAACGGTTCGTTAAACTTGTTTATAGAGTTTATTATAAATCCTATTCGTTTGCATTAATTTTCATTTCTTGTAATAAATTTTTATTTTTTAAACAATTTATTTACGAAAATTGTTATTTATTTGACTGAAAATAGCAATTATTTTATTTTCAACGCAGAATTGAATATCTATTTAATTAACTAATTATCGATTGTTTTTTCTAATGCTATATTTTTTTACTGTAGAGTTGAATGTCTTTTACACTAGTATTTTGTATCCAATTTGTTATTCCCTAAAACATGGGATCAAATGTGAAAAATGGTTTAAAAAGTTCTCTATTTTCAGCAAATTTTTGTTTTTCAATTCAATACTTGTTTCGCTGTTTTCTCAGTGTTTCTGAAATTCTCACTGTTTTTTGTCTCAGAAAATAGTCGTGTTATTCAATACTTTCCTTTATTATTAACTATGATATCATATGTAAAGTGGATTTTATGCTTAAATTATTTGTGAATATTTTAGCCGTCGTTTTCTAATCAATTATACACTGAATTATGTATTATATTATTCGCAGAAATAATATTATATGAATTTTATATGAAATACTCTTTTTGTTTGTTGTCTCCGAAAACATGATTGCATTGTATTATAAGCGGTGATTATTTGCCAATATTTTTC